TGGGCGGGTGCAGGAGCCGCTTGGAGAGGCTGCGCGCGGGGCTCTTGGGCAGCTGCGGGCTGGGTCTGCTGAGGCAGATGCCGGACACAGTCCGGAAGATGCTGTGCACGCTCTTCTCCGACGTGAAGGCCGAGCACTCCAGGTAGCTCTCTGCTCCCAGCTGCTTGGCCGCAGCGCAGCCCTGTGACCCAAAGCCACGTCAGACTGAGGCAGTAACTGACTTGCTGCCCCCAAACTGGCCCCCTCAGCACCCTGATTTTGGGTCCCAGCCCATCCCCAGCACCTGCTCGTAGGAGATGGGCGCCTGCTTCTGATGGGAGAGCTCCATGAGGGTGCTCAGGTCCGTCCGCAGGTCTGTCTTGCAGCCGATGAGCAGCACCCGGGTGTTGGGGCAGTAGTCCAGGATCTCCGTCTTCCACTGCACACACAAACCCACAGTCAGCTGGGCACCCTGGGGTCCCCAAACCCGATCCCAATGCGGGGGCTTTCCTGGGAAAATGGTCCCCACGACCGTGCACGGAGGGATGGGGCTGAGCACCCCTCACCTTCTTGGATGCGCTGTCCAGGGTCTCAGGGCGGCTGATGTCGAAGCAGAGCAGCACGGCATCCGAATCGCTGTAGCAGAGGGGACGCACGTTGTCATAGTAGGGAGAGCCTGGGAGAAGGGGGGGGAGTCACCACGCTGCACCCCGCAATGGCCGAGGGGCTGCTGCCCCCCAGGCAGCAGGGAGCTTGCAAAGGAGGGGGAGCAGCTCCAGAGCACCCTAAAACACTGCCTTGCCTCGTTAACACACCCATCTTCACTAATGAGGCAGCAGGAAATGGTTCCTGGGGAGTTTATATAACTGCAAACCCTCCCCCACAAGAAGGGAGCCCTGCCAGCAACAGGGGTGTCAGGGACCAGCCGGGGCACCCGGTGAGGGGGTGGCAGGGCACCAGGCCACCCCCATGGGGCATGCCCCATCACCAGCACCGCAGAGGGACACTGCAAGGGAGCCCCCCCTGCAGGCATGGGGGTGAGGCAGGGCACCCCCTCCATGCTGCCCCCCCCGACCCCAGCGTGTCCTCCGAGGGGTTTTGCAGCCCAGACGCTCCGTGCGCGGAATAGCAAAGAGGCTGCGCCAGCACATCGCCATGGCAACATGGG